GGTGCCTTGGCTGCCCCACCCTTGCTACACCACTGCATGTTGTTCATCATTATTCTCTTTGTCTTTCGGAAACGCGCACTTGCTCGCCGGGAGGAAACGCGTAGGTGGCTTGCATTCGTCGACACCGACACGTGATATCGATGCCAACGCAGGTCACTGATACCTACGCGGAGCACAGTGTCACAGGAAAAGGACGCCCCTCGAAATTGCTTCACAGTTTGCTGAGATTTGTGTTGGGAGCATCATATGGGCTGCGTGTTCCTCAGTATTATTTTATTACCAGTTATCAGTGCTGAAGTATATTTCCCGGCATACGTTTCTATAGTATAAAAATAACTTTCGAAGTGTTAACGCGTGGTGTGAATTGGTGTTCTATGTGGAAACCCCGTTTTTGTGAATGAAATACGAAGAAGAATGTGTAGTGAAAGAAAGAATATCTCACATGAATGTCATGTGTTTATTCGCGAAAATCATGGTCAGTAATCATTAAGTGCACCAGACTCTTTGGCAGTGATACGGATACTATGACACGGAAACTGGAAATACAGCTCGGATAAGAAGCAGAAGGTAAGCCAATTAGAAATACGTTTTCCATTAAGCCAAGCTTTGCCAGTAGTTTGCAATATCTTCTTGACTTAAAAGTGTCAAAATTTAGCCAACTACATCTTCCATCATTTTGTTTCTTATTAATTTTGGCTTAATTTGCAGCAAAAAAATAGGAATTCTGTAATCTCACAAATTACTACCGATTACTATAACTATTCACACGAGTAATTTGTATATTATAGGCGTATAATCTCTATATAGAAGGTGATAAGAAAAAATTAGAACTTATCTGCCTAATTTTTTAATAAAATAACTATAAATTAGCATAGCCTCCGAGGCACACGTTCTTTAAAGACATTTAAGAGGTAATACGGTCAAAATACATTTTGCTTTATCGCCTTCTACGCACTTACGTAGTAAAGAGAACGTGTTTCAATGCTGTAGCGGAATGTGGCGATTTTTCCTCAGAAAAACTCACATTGCGTGGCCCTGATATTGAAAAAGTGGATGAATCTTGTTTAATATGTAGTAAATTACTTCCTTCAACAGGCTTTGTACCCAGAATTTGCCATTTTGTGGGTCCTTAATTCCGAAAATTTAGTTTACGGCAAATCGTCAGTCTCTGCGATCGTCCACGCATCCTTCCTTCTGCTTGTCTGTGGTCAATGCTAGCGCCTATCTTAACTGTTCAATTGGCATTCCCCGATCGATCTGGTTGAATTTTTTCTCGATCTGTCTGGCCGAAGACTTAAAAAAAACATTGTCAAAAAATTCAACATCGGACGTCTCTGCCAAAAATTTCGACACGATGTTTGTTTCTGAAACTTTTTCCTAAACTCTCAAAATAATCAGTAAAGTAAATAAGAAATTTTCGGCCTGTTTAGATGAATTACCGTATGGAGACCGAATTGTTTGCGGAAGTCTTGGATGCCTCCCATCATACACGATAACTCCCATTTTAATGCACTACTGTGCACCGGAATATTTCCAGACGTTTTCAAAACAACTAATTTTAGGCCACTCTTCAAATAGGGCAACTGAAATGAAATTCTGAATTATCGATCAGTTTCCCTGTTGTCAGTATTCTTAACTCACTTTTCTGCGAAACCTTCTCCACTATATGCGAAGTGTTTTTGGATTTCGGTCAACATGGATTTAGTAAATCAAAATCGGAAATAGTCAATTTTCTTTTCTTAATGATGTCGCTTCGTCCATGAATCAAAATGAAGCATTTATTGGAATATTTTTAGGTCTTTAAAAAGCATATGACGTGTCGATAAAAAAATTTACTTTAAAAATTACCTTTGTATGAAATTAGTACTATTGCTTTAGACCAGTGATTTTCGCACCTCAAACAGCGATATCAGAGAATAGAAATACCGTACCGAAGGTCGCGCAGAGTTCAATTATCCTACGCGTATCACAGTGACGCAAAATTGCAAGTATCTGTCAAACCCTGGTATCTATCCTTGCGGCAGATTTCTACTGCACAGGGATAATTGATAGAGAATTGGGTATGAAGAAAAACAGGATCGATTAAAATATATATTGCAAATATTATTTACAAAATTCATACCTATTTTACCTGAAACCAATGCTGATTGTGAGAGGCTTGAGAGCTTGAGAGATTGTGAGAGAAATTTAACATAAACATGAATAGTGAATTTGGACTGACAGTTAAGGAAGACCTGGATGTTTTTTAAACAAAATCGTTTCAGACATTTGAATGATGGATTTGTATTATTTTACCAAAGCCTGCCTCTACACACAAATTGACCTTGTAAATGCCTTTTTATACGTCACTTTATAATTTTGTCGGCATAATTTTAATATTGTTTCTAACAATATTTCTTCAGAGATCTTTAGTTGCCGTATTTTTTATTTGGATGTAGATATAAAGGCAGACAGTGGTATGGCAAAATTACACTTCAATCAATGTGTGTATAGACACGAGGAAAGTGTAAAAAATGGGAACTCTTTACTTTCTTACTCATGCCCCTATATACTCTTTTAAACAATCGGGTCGCTCTACGTAGTATGTTCAGAGCGTCCCACAATAATTGTCACCAATTTCTGGGATATGTAGAGGGGTCGAAGATGATCACTTTTTGCCCGTGAACATACGGTGAGAAATGTCATATAAAGAAGTTGTACGCCTGACATTTGCCTTTGTTAGGTAGGCAACTCCCCATGCATTGCTTATCGATGAGTACACGAAATCTCTTTCAGTGCGTCAGAATGTGACCTGCCAAACACCAGTGCTTAACGAGTTGTCAGCCAATAAGGGCCAAATTGCCAATTTAGTAACTTCGTTGCAGGGTTTCGATAATTTAAATCAAGTGGTTTACATAATTGATTTAAATCACATGATTCAACTAAAAGTCATCGATATAAATAAAACATATAATTTATTGTAAATTTGTACAAAGAATGATTAAAAATTTGAATGTCAAATAAAAGGAAAATGTATCCAGAAAATTACAAAGAAAATATTAAAAAGAAAGCGAGGAATAATGGAGAAGAATATATTTAAAAAAACAAACTGGTTTGTGCCAACCAAAGTGCGCGTTGACATTAACACTTTCAAAAGTGAATGGTGTATATTCGCGTCATTTTCGAATGATGAAAAAGAGGCTGTGATTTGTGATTTTTATGAAGTGGATAATTTTAATACCCATAATGCATATTTATTTGAAATTATTAAGTCTTTTTCTTCCAAGAGACGGTATTTTAAGGTCAGAACCAATGTTTTTGAAACAAGAACAATTGTTATAAACCTCCCAAAATTTAATGATTTAATATTTTTTAATGTCTGCAGAAAGTTGCCTTGATATGTACAAAAAGTTATCCAGGAAGATTTTACTCATCCTTGGTTTCTGAATTATTTTATGAAAATTCTAGTAAACCCTCCAGAACTAGGTCAAAGTGGGGTAGAGCCATTGTTCTAATGAGTTCTCAAATCTTTTGTCTCTCTCTTCAAATATAAAAAAACTAATGTAAATATTTGAATTTAAATAAAAAAATCCGATTTTTTAATTAAACAAATCATGATTTGTTGTAAATTTGTTGTAAAATAAACCCTGCTTCGTTGTATGAAATTTCCTATCATATTTTTCTGTTTTGAAAATTGAAACAATACAAAATCGTACCTCAAAAATCGTTCAATTGAATTGAATCAATCATCCACAATTAAAATAAGGTATTCTAATAATAATAATAATAATAATAATAATAATAATAATAATAATAATAATAATGTAAAATATCCGATAATTTAGAATAAAGTTGGAAAATAAAGGGATTAGAATAATGATGAGAAATATTGATTGACATAAACCTCGGGATTTTAGAATGTCTAGTCTCTGATAACGATGTAAGGCAATAAATAAGGATAATGAATCCCTTCGATTCTTTGAACTAGTTCCGAAGTATTGCTCACTAACGAACGATCTCTTAAAGAACCGTCCCTATAAAGAACGACCTTCCGTAACCCATTCGTACACTGTGGCTCGCAACCACTAGTGACCACTGATATCAAACTTGCATTCACCAGACAAAAAAGTACGAAAGAATAATATAGGATTTTCGAGCATTAGAAAATATGTTATGCATTTCCTAGTAAATTAATTTCGTTATAAAACAGAATTGATGTGAATGTATGCACAAGAATGATTACAACTTTGTCAGTATTCAGTCTTGTTCTCCCACCACGCAACCTACAGGTGTGATTATTTTTTCTTTCCCGCGCAACCTAAAGATGTGGCTATTCTAAATTCAGTATTTACTTCATCAATACTCTGGTTTGTTTCAATGCTTTCAGACTTTTTTCGATCAACTTTCTTTGTAAACCAATGAGTTACCAGAACAAATGATCGAACTTGCTCAGATAAACCAATGAATTACCACGGATGTGTTCAGGTGTGTTTATTTTCAGCCAATGACGGCACACGACTTACATTTTATTGTGAAAATTTTGATAAACTGTTTGTAATAATTTAATTACCGTAGATTTTATTACTTTCATATTTTTTAATTTATTTACTATTGTTTATTGTATATACTTTCTGAATCAGAGAACACAAGATATATATTTTCTTTCACAATATGTTTCCCGCCCGAATAATTTCCATGTTTGCTAGAGGTTACTTTTATTTATTTTGTTCGATTGATATTTGAATTTGCTATGAATTAAGATTAGCATTCTCGTGTTTACCAGAAACAACATTCACAATATTAATAAAATGAAATTTATAACATTTCCTTCGTCGTAGTCAGGGGTTGGCAAGATTGACGTACTTCGTTCTTTCAAGTTGGAGCGTTGTGTTCGGTTTGTTTGTGGAGCAGAAAATTCCTGGTAGGAATTCGCCTGAATCTTAGTTGTGTGTCGGGTCGCTGTGTTTCCAGCACATATTACTTATCCATTTCATTTGTTTGTTGCATTACATAGTGTAAAAATGGAAAGAAACACCAGGTACTTATATAATTTTTGCTTTATGAACTTTTTCGTTTTTCAGGAAACAAACTTGGCCATTCTTATTATTTTTTATGCAATGCCTTACATATTTGCATCAATTATGTTTTATATTTTTAAACTAACCATCCAGATTTTCTACCAAAAAAAATTAATTATTCTTCGCGTGTTATTTTATTTTATTTTTTGTTTGTGAAATGATCGTATGTGACATCTTGAATTACTTGAAATCCGGTTATATTTTCATTTCCCATTAACTGAGTTGAAAAAGAAAATTTGCTTAATTTTAGAGCAATTCGTAATTGTTCTAATGTAATGCAAAATTGTGAACGATTTCTGCCTGGAGTTTTTCGGATTTAGATTGATTAATTTGATATCCTGTGTTGTGATTATATAACTCTGCCCGGGTTGGTTTGCGACGTAATACAAAGTGACAAAATTAAAGTAATGTATACTGGAAACATTCAGTCATATCAGGTGAACAGAAATATATATAATTTCTTACGTTTAATGTGCTAGTGAAAAATATGTCAATACTCCTTTAGTTTTGAAATTGGTTGGTATCAAATTTAATTTTTTTTCTTATGACAATGGAAAATGTTAGTTACTATATATTTGCTCTCGTTTAACTCATTTAATCATTTCAGGGGTCGTGAATTGAATTCGCGTTTTTCATCTCAGCCGTTTATCAAATTGCATTGATCGTTATGCTTGTTTCTATTTAAGACAGACTTTTCTGGACTCCATGATTCGAGATGAAGTAGGTAGTTTAATATATATACTTCGATATGATTTGATAATTCATTATTTGAAATAAGTATATTTGCTTGCGGCAATTGACTACTCTGCCCCAGTGATTTTAATGCTTTTGTACGTGTTCCTACAATCCACGAGAAACGCTAATTTTGTGTCTTTCGATGACATTCTTGAAAAGTATACGATATGTGTTTCTACGTTCTTAGCATATGAGCGCCATTAATGTTTCGAATCAATTTAATATTGGTGTATTCAGTTCGTCTTTCTGATGGAAAGAAGATTTTTTTGTAATTTTCATTTAATATTCAGTGCTGATTCGTAAGATCATAAAACTTAGTACTTGAGTTGATATGGATAATTTACGGCATATTCTAAAATAAAATTATGCGCGTTCGAGGCCATCACATGACCTGCATCGTTTAAATTAAATTTCCTTTTCCTTTTGCTCTTTTCGAACTAAATCTTTAAGATAGTACATGAAAATAATCTTGAAGCTTCACGACTGTGTGCTGCTAACGCTAAATTCCCATAATATTAAAACTACATAAATAATACATCCTCTTGATTCCTTTCTGACACATCCTTATCCAGTTGTTTAATTATAGCTTCCCTCCAACAATCGCACTAAATTATATTATTATTAACTTTATGTTATGCAGGTTATTATGATGTATACTGCTAATTATCGTAATAACTCATAATAATGATCAGTACCTTTAACATATGTTACGGGATGGTAATATGGTTAGCAGCACACTCTACCGCCTCAGTTAGGAACAAATTTCATTTATCGCTATCACGTGATTTGTATCATGCATGTTGCAAGTCGTGTGATTGTTCTCTGATTAAAACGGGCGAATTGGTGTTTATCAGCTGGAACGCGGATATCCAATTAGGTGCTTCAATTTCAAAAATTGAGTCCTAATCAAACACCAACTTGTCTTTTCTACACTTCGATTAAAACGTGAAGTCCATGGACACTTGGTCAGCTGTGACGCTATCATCCAATCGGGAGCTTGAACGTCACTATAGTGACATTGAAGCTCCCGATTGACTGATTGTCACAGCTGACCAAGTGTCAACTGACTTAATGTTATAATCGAAGTACACAAACGTTTTGAAACGAAAGAGTTACGTTTTCCACCATAGTCTTAACACAGGCGCCAATCCAAGGGGGGGGGGATGAGGGAAATCCCCTCCTGAAATTGTTCAAACTTAATTTTAACCTGTCACGAAACTTTCAAGCAAAACTATTTTCAGATTAATTAAAACGAATAATATCGTTTTCCAGCATGAGCTGAGTGTAAGCTGTGATGTTTCACAAAATCTGTAATATATTTGACGAAAACATTTTTAATTTCCCCTACCAAAATTCGTCTCTGGATCAGCCCCTGCTCAACGTAATATTGGAGCCCATGTATGCGCTTATGCTCAAAGGGGGTTCATCTCAAATACGATGTGGTGCTTCACGCTGTACAAAAACTATTAAAAAAAGTACTACATAAGTACTATCCGCGCACATTTTCTTGATCCCTCATTTCATTAGGTGCGAGAGGTGTGGGGTGTTTGATTATTTTGCCGACATTATACTTTGTCAAATCTGTAGCTCCTTTTCCGATATTAAACGGAGAATAAGTGAAGAGCAACTAATTAAAACATATTGTCCACAGGTGGAAAAAGTTAAGTGTGATATGACATCGTGTAATTCTTAATACGTTTCACATTCCTGCTTTTAGATTTCTTCAAAACGTATTTTAACGCATTAAATTAAATGCGTTTTGAAGAAATCTGACAGCAGGAAGTGTAGAACGAATTACATACTAGACTATTTTTAATATCAAACTCAATTTTTTCCACCAGTGGACAATATGCGTTTTGATTAATTGCTTCTCAAGTTGTTATGGTCTTATCTCTACAATGGCTAACAGTATATTGAATTTTTGGACTCTGTTCCATGCCATCAAGGTGCCCTCATCTGTCCCTTACAGTTCTCATCTGGGATCACTTATACTTTAAATTTTATAGATGACTTGTGTGTGATCTTATCTACTGTCACTTATTACTATCTGCTGATGATGCAAAGATGTAAGCTCAAGAGAATGATTTGAATAAAGCTTCTCTCGTTCAACAGGATCTTGATAGGATTGTTCTTTGGTGTAATGCTAATAATTTGGATCTTAATATTCAGAAATGCAAAATGATCTGTTTCTTGAGAAGTAATCTTTCAACTGAGCATCATAATTCCTTATTTAGTAGTAAATTTCACTTGTAGGTTCTATTTTAAATCCATGTTATTTAATGGTACTTTTGCTGATCACATAACTCATGACTCTAATGAGGTATTCAAACTTGTGATTTTTTTTAACCAAACAATGACAAAATTTCATGACAGACACTTTTCTGATGTTATGTAAAACTCTTGTATGACTCAAACTTAAAATGCCTCTATGGGTAGGTCCCATTATTTAAGTGTATATATTAGCAAGATTGAATTGATTCAACATAGATTTTTGAGGGCTTGTGAACTAAGATTTCATAGTCCAGTGTGTATTTTTGAATACAATTATTAGTCTACATTTTGAAGTCCATAGGGCCTATGACTTCACTCATTGAATCATAGGAATGTACTAATTTTAATTTACTTTTTTATAGAAATCAATCAAGGGTTATTTTAGACGAGAAATAATTCCTCTTATTATCATTAATATTTCCATCTAGGACTCTTGGATCTTTTCTAATTTTTCACACAAAGCTGAAGAGATCCTCATGTAATAATGACTCAATACAGAAATTGTTGCATGTGCATAATTTGCAGTATTTGGGAGTGATTGATTTCTTTAGAACATTCTTGGGTAGTTTTAATAACTACTTGAAATGCCTAGATTATGGCAGTATCCTGCATTCAATATAAAGAATTCTTGCTTGTTCCTAGTAAATTATTTTATATTCATGTTTGCATAATCATTTTGTATTTTTCTTATGTAATTCTAACTTAAGTTTTGAATGACTTTTGCAAAACTCTTGTTAATATAAATTTATTTTTGATTTCAGTGGTGATGGTGTTGATGAAATGAATAAACATTTGAAAAAATTGAGTATGAGCTCCGTGAGTGAAAAGATCTCTGATCAAAGTAATACAAGAAGAACCCGAAGTGTTGCAAAAAGAGGTAATATCCAAACAGCCAAAACAGTAGCAGCATCCAACAAACCTGCTAATACTTCTAAAAAAAGTACTCATCAGTTGACTGAAAAAGACATTCTGGCTCTTCCGATAGTTGTGCCCTTACGGGATGCTCCAAAATTTGTGACAAGTGGGATAGGCAATAGCGATACAGGCAACATTCCTATTGTAATGTCACCAAATTTAAGTATAAAGCCTTCATTAATTACATCAACATCCTGCCAGGAAGAAACACAAGATGTGAATGCTGGAGCATGGAGAGAAGAAGCTTTAATAGAACTGCCAACACTTTCTTCATTTGAAGAAACTAGTAAATATCAGTCATGTCCAAGGAATGAAAAAAAATCGCTATTTGCTAGTACATCATCAAATAAGTTGTCTGAAGGAGGTCAAAAATCATTGAAAGGTACATCAAAAACTTTGATATCACATAGTGGTTCACAAAGTGGATTTACACCCAAGTCTGAGAAATCAAACAGAAAATGTATTGCATCAATGGGTAGATCCAAATTAAATGAAGCAAAGGAATGGAAAAGGCAAAGTGCAAAAGAAATACAAAAAATATCTATTTCGACTGAAGACATTCGTGTTAGATGTAATGAGCTTCCAATGATTGATTATACTCAGAATACTGAAACATGTAGCTCAGAAGAAAAAGTTATACCTGTTAAAATTAAAGAAGATGAGATCTCAAAACCTTCCAGTAATTCAAAAGATAAGATGGCAGTAAACTCTAAAAAAAGATCAAAAGTTTTGAGAAGGACATCAACAGATAATATGAATTCTAAAGCAGATGAGAGAAATGACAAGAAATCTACAAATTTTAAATCTAAGCCCAAAGATGACAATACATCAATGAGAAAGGAAATAAAAAAAGATACAAAGGAAAATTTGGAGACTAACGAAACTTCCCACATTTCTGGAAGTGGAGAACAAAATTCAGAAAAGAAACAGCATTTGGTAGAATCTACTCCTTTACTAGAAATTAAATCTCAGACTGAACAGAATGGCAACACTCCTATGTGTTCTCAAACAATACAAAAAATACTCCCAGATTTTCAAGAGCAGCCAAACGATGACTCAGACGTAAATAGAAGCAAAGAAAGAATCAACGCTGCAGGTCTCATTGAAACACAAGAAGAAACTTGCGGACACTGTTCTGAAGTTAATGCTCAGAAAATGCTCAATGAGAATACTACTTCATCTTTGCCAAAATCTAACACTGCAGAAGATTCAACACTTATTAAATGTCAACAAAAAATCCCCGAACCTGCAGTACCAGGTCCTAGCAACACAACCAAGTCTCAAAATATTAGTGAAGTTGACAATGCTTCAAAATGTCCTAAGAAAGTAAATAAGAATTTAACATCTACAGGTGCTATACCAAAAAAATTGCAACTTAGTAGCGACTCCAAATTTCTGAAAGGATTCAATCCTGATCAAAGTAGGAGAGAAACAAAAAAATTCAAAAAATTAGATGAAAGGTATAAAAAGGCGAGGAATTATCACAAAAAGCGGCTATATGATGACCATGGGCTAGTACTGGAAACAGGGGAGGACTTGTGTGATTGTCTTATTAAAGACTGTCCTGGTTGTCACTTTCCTTGCCCAAGATGCAGATCTAATAAATGTGGCCATGTCTGTAGAGTGAATAGGACCTGGATGTATGATGAATACGAAATAGAGGGCACTGGTATTACCATAAAAAGGCAGCCTTAAGAATGCTTTTCTTTTTCATTTGTATGGTAGTACAAAAGAAAGTGATAACCAAATTTCAATATTTCTTGAAAATTTCAATACTTGAAAATAAGAAAAATATAAAATTATTGGAGAATGGATACATGTTCTTAGTATTGAAGTGGCAAGTGAAATCAGCCATTTCTGAATACCTTTTTTTTGTAAAATTGGTGCTGTGATTTGTGAAAAACTCGTTACAAAGCATTCTTATTGTGAACCATCTGTTTGCACAAATTTTTTAATTCACATTTTAACCAACCCATTGACAACAAAAGCCGCCTATTCCATGCTTAGTCATGAAAAATGGTTCGTTGATCATTGAATTGCCTAAACCACTTTCTCACCATTCCATCATCCATTACATTTTCACCATAAATATCTACAAGTTGGCGAAGAATTTCAGCTGGCTTAACATTCTTTGCTTTCACAACCAGATGTTGGTGGCTGTCTTAATTGGCGGCATCTTCCTAGGAATAGGGCATACAAAACTTAGTTTCCTGCTAAGACAAATGTCTGAACAATGGTGATAACTTTGTAGAAAAATAGTTTAAGAAATGCTCTTTTACCTAAAAATAAATTGTGTTTAGAAAAACAAATTCTTATGCATTATTTTCCAGAATGGTACTTACTCTCCAGACACATCTTGTAGTTATGCTATGCTGAATATGAATCTTCACTTTTTTAATATTTAAATGTCTTGATTTCTTTTAATTAGGTCTTAAGAATTCATTTATACATTTATTTTTATGAACTTGAAGAATTGATTTCTCAATTATATCTAAGGAATCTGAAAATTCTTTTTATTAAATATAGATATGTTATTGTAAAACAAGTGAATATTTAAAATTATATTAATATATTATAAATAGTTTTCATTATAAAAGCAAGAACTTAATGAATGTAGAATTTTAAAGAATGGTGCTTAATTATGATATTAAACTAAATGTTATCTTTAAGGTTTTATCAATATTAACTGAATGGGTGAATTGAAAAACAGTGCTAATCCAAAATCGGTCATTTTCGATGTTTTCTTTACAGAAATTAGTGCAGAAGTCATGGAACTGCTTGTCGGGACTGTAAACAGTTCAATATGAGGAAGGAGCCACTTGATTTGAAATCCAAATATTATTTCAAATCAAGCAGCTCCTCTTTGATGAGTAAAAAACAGTATCTCTTCTGGGCACATACTGTGCTCTTCCACTTAGGATTTTCGGCATCTGCCAACACGGGCTGCTCTCAGTGGACTCACTGAGACAGTAAGTGGTGAGCTGGTAATTTTCATTTTGCATTGAAAGAATGTAGTCATAGTCATACTTGTAAACAAGCATTCACAATCCTAAATGAAATTACTCATTCATGTTCAATGACAGACAGGAATTCTTTTGTTGAGTCTAGCTCCAAAAGATGGCAAAGCAAAGCATAATATCAAACATGTTATCAAGCTCAAAAATCTTGTGCAGTTAAAAGAACTCAGAATTCTTTTTATAAAAATAATCTTTATATAATAAATTTTATAAAAAATACTAGATGTCACAGTGTTAGGTGCAGAAAAGCTGAATGTTGCAGCCATCTGTTTGACTTCACGCAGAATTAACCTCTTCCACAATACCATTGCAAGAGATGTTTTATTATTGGCAACTCTGGGTCAAAGTTTTTGAAATCCACAACATCAAAGATATTATAGATCATTACTACTTATGCCACGAAGGACAAGCTTCCAAAGCTTTGAATGAAGTATGTGCATTTGTTAATGAATGCATTCCTGACCAAAAAAATCCTGATTCCATTGATTAAATGCACCTTTTCTCAGATACATGCCCATATGGCAATAGAAACCACACATTACATCAACTGTGTTTTATATTACTTTCTTGCATTTTTTATAAGCCGGCCCTCTTTCAACAATAAAGTGTATTTTTGTGGTATACTTATTTTGTAAGAAATGTGATTGGCAAATCTTCTTTGAGGTGAAAAAAGTACAAGTCCACAATTTTTGTTTAAATTATAACACATTATTAATAATTTTTCTTGGAATGATTAATGAGAACATATTCATATGGTGTTGCAGGCCTACAATAAAGAAAAAAGAAAACAGTTAAAATGTCAACAGTTTTTGGTCAAACTTAATCAAAAGTTATAACTTGAATTATCGCAAAATGAACTTTCTGAATTAGTACCGTTTTTCCACTCACCCATTCAACAATTTTGAGATTAAAGAATAAACTTATTACAGAATGATGTTCTAGTCTATTCATTTCAAATATCTCATCTATAATTTTTGTATTAGTAATAGATTTTGGAAACGGTAATGAGTAATATTTTAAGAGGACTTCTAATAAAATTCAAGGTAATGCTTTCAATAATTTTTTATATTGTTGAAGAATCATTACACATTTTTTCCCCATTCTTAGACCAACTTCTTAAGTTTAGAAGTATTGGTATATTATAATCACTTGTTTCTTCTAAAAAAAATTAATACTATCAGAAAAAAGTTTGCATATGTTTTGTCATAACAGGGCTGCTCAAATGAGCGACCCACTTAGCATGGCTCTGGTGAGCACTTATTTACAGCAATTGGTGTGATCTGCTCTTTGTTAAGTCATCTCAATCACAGGAGGAGAGGAGAGGCCCTAGTGGGTTAAAGGAGTTAGGGCATAAGGGCATTCTGACTTGGAATGATTGGGTTCAGATTAGAGAAGGGTGAATGGCATGCAAGCCACTGCTGCTGGCACTCACCGGCAGTTGAGCTAAAAATGTTACATATGAGCAGCCTTATTTTGTATTATATCTTTGTATCTTGTTTCAGTTTGTAATAAAAATTTGAGATTTTTAGTCAGGATTTTTTTGATTTTTTCAAATCCAAATAATCTTACCTTATACTATGATTTTCTCTTTTGACTGCAATAATCATAGTAGAAGAGTGTAACAAACATTGTAGAATTGATCAAAAGTTTGCTTTCCTTTACTATTGATTTGTAATTAATTAGTATGTAGAGTAAAAGAACCAGTAGTGGCCATGGTTACTGTTTGCAGTTTTCGTAAAATTTTTGGGCTATAGTTATAAATTCAACGTGTGAGGCTCAGTGGGTGATTAGCGTTCCTCTTTCTGAATATATCCTTTGCCTAAAATTGGCCAATTTTGAGTTTATTCATTTTTTTTAATTTCCAAACCCTGACTTAGATCCACTTGTGATTTCTTACAAATTGCAAAAGTTTGGTAATAGTCTAATGGCTATTTGATATTCTACCTCTTTGAATGAATTTGAGACACTTAGAGTCCAAAAAACTACAAGTTTGTGTTACATTATTGTAATGCCAATAAGATGTTGTACACTTATTTTTTATATATAAAAGAAGGGAAAGGAAATAAATTATCTTTGTTCTACACCTCACCAGTAGAAGACATTAGCTCCTTGTTTTGTAAGTTCGAATCAAGTAAGAAATGTCCGATTCGTATTTTTTTATATTTTGGCGTGTAGTGGTAGGTGGTGGCTACTATTACTAGTGTTTTTACCCTACATGAAAATGTTTGAAAATGTAGCTATGGCTCTATACTTACATATTGAATTTATTAGTTGGGTTTCATCCACTGATATGTTGATTTCCTTTTGCTGATTCTATTCTGATTTCATTTCAAATTATTGATTTATTTCACTTAGAAGGAGCTATGATTAATTTACACAAATCATGATTACAATGTTGTACATTTATCAGAAATGCTTCTGTTTAATTATTAAAAATGTTATAAAATATATTAAATATATATTAAAAAATTAGTTTTGTGTAACCTTTTTCAGCTTGAGGGCCAAATTACTATTTTGACTCCATGTCAAGGTCCCAAACAAATTAATCAATATTAAGTCATTAATTTTTTAGAATATTATATACTTTGTTGATATAAAGCTCAACACAAATTTTACAATATATTAAGCAACACAAAAATTTACTGTGATGTTTTACCTTGTAGTTGATCTACGTGACTATCAATATTGACTTTGATAATTACTTAAGGATTATCAAAAAAAATATTTCCAGGATATCATCCATTACCCTTGCCTGAGTTTTTGATTTAGAGTTTTTAATTTTTTTTTTAAACTGTCCTTAAGTGGTTAAAAGACAAATGATCTATTTTAAAAGGCCCATACATTACTTTACGTCTACTAAATAAAATTTACAGAAATCCATTAAAGCAATGATTTTGGCATTAAATCTGGCTTTAAGTGGCATCTTTAAGTTAACTGGCACACTATTTAAATCGGCATTTCTTGGAAGATCAAATAAGGAATTTTTGTTTTGGAAGACAGGAAACCTTTTATCTAATTCCTCTCTTAGAGTGTTGATTTCATCTCCTTAACAATTATAAGGTATATTTTCATGAACTGCCAGAGGCGAAAAATGAACAATTTTATTTTTATGTCTTTCCTGCAATCTCCTACTGAATCAAAAATTAGGACAATTAGTTAACTAATTGGCCTTGTTAACTAATTGTCCTAATTTTTGATTCAGTAGGTTTTCAAGTTAAGTATTCTGTAACATCTACAAGGAATGCCAACTTCCACTCCCACATGCGATCTTTTATTTGGTAAATTATTGTTTTCTTTTACATTGGACATTACAGAGGTATGTCCATTACCTCTGCAATGTCTTGCCTCAAATCATATAATCGTTTTAAAATTTTACCTTTACTCAACCACCTTACATCACAATAATAAGATGCATCTTCATAGTCCAAAAATAGATTGCCAAATACTTCTTATATTTGCAGTGTTTAAGTACATGAGACTTAATAAAGTTAATAGGGGAAGCAGGGTAATGAGGATTACTTTTTGTTTTTTCAATATAAATCAGTATCAATTGCTCCTATGAACAAGTATATGCTGATATATCTTACAGTAGTAATTTAGCTTGTTATCACAAGAATTAATAAAAAATACATTAAAACCCTCTCAAAATTTCCAAAATTTGTATTTGACACCCGTTAC